CAACAAGAGAGAGAGAGAGAGAGAGAGAGGGAGCAAGGGAGAGAGAGAGTGGATGGAGCTTTCATAATGTCTTTAGAAATGAAATTTAAATCAATAACAGATCAGCAATGGCTGACAGTATTTGTAAAAACATTTTAAAATAACATTTAGAGAGATAAATAACACATTACAAAAACAAACAAAACCGACCCAAAAAAAATGTTACAGGTTATGTTTATTCAACACTGCTTTATGCCACAGAGACTTGGACAATGAGCACACAATTAAAAATTCTAATTTAGGCGATATAGATGGAAATAAAGAGTCAATCACAGAGGTTTTATCTGGGTTGGGAATAAAGAGATAGGTAAGGAAAAAAGTTACAGAAAGCAAAGGACAGATGTCATTATTTGGTCACATTAAAACATGTCTCTGTGGCGAAGTGGTCAAGCCGTTTGCCTCGCACTCTAAATGTCATGGGTTCAATTCATGGCTGCACCCTTCAGTTCACGAGTGCAGTTTTTACAGAGATGCCTTGGGATCGTCGCCAGAGCTACAGAGTACCTGCTCTGTGCGGTGCTCCCGGCAGGCAGCAAGCCATTCAGCGGAGAGAGACTGAGCTATATGGGATAAAAACTAGTTCAATGAAGTCGATCCTCTCAACTTTAACCTTTTACCGCTCTTTTATGAAGACCATACTGGAGGAAAAATTTGCAAGTGGGCATCAGGCAGTCAATGATACAAGTGGAAATTTAACATCCAAAAATGAGCAAACAGCGGTCTGTCAAAATGAACAAGCAACAGAAAACAGAAAAAGAATCGGAAATTCACTACAGCTTTCAATCCCTGTGGAGATGGCACCTTATTGTCTGACTAAATCTCTTAAAAGAAATTTTTGATTACAATACAGAATCTGTTCAAAATACAACAGCTTCATATTACAAATAACGGGTTTTATAAGGAGCAATCATCTGAAGAAACATCAACTGGTGTAAAAGAAAGTAAAGGTCCCTTTTCCAAGCCTTTAGGCATATATGGCTATACCTATATTTTTTATAGCCCAATTGGCACAAGATGGGTGACGTAGTCAGCATCACGCCGGCCGCCTTTACTTCCTGGGACTGCACCCGGTACCCACTCAAGGCTGGGTCGACCTGGGAGTCAAGGTCATTTGTGAAAAAAAGTCAGGCTACACCAGGGAGTGAACCCACAACCTTCTGATCTGTACGCAAGCATCTAGCAACTACGACTCCCATCAAACTGGTGTGACAGAATTAAGCAAAGCATACATTTTGAAAGAATTAAGCACCACATGGGTTGGTTAGAAAAAAGTAGCTGTAGGCATTCGGGCTAGCATCCTATTTCTTAATTAGGTCACAAGTGCCGACCGGAAAACAAAGGATTGTGGCTGCTCACTGATTTAAGTGTTCATTACCACCTTCCTCCTTTTGCAGGTTGGTCAACATTCATGGCACCCCCTATTAACACACCTTCTGATATTGCAGTTTTCTAAAAATAACCTTTTGAAATGCCCCAATGGACACATCAAATTCTGTCACTAGCAATTGTATGTTCCAACAAAATGTCATCCTTGCTGCTGCATCAACTCTGGCAACGTTTTTTTTCCTGTCCAGTCAGTTATCTTCAACAAACATTTGTTAACTGTACACTGCCTGCACTGTTTGTTCACTAGTCAACATCCTTCAAATAAAAGAAACTGAATCACTGCTCTTTTAGCTTTCACGGATTTTGGTTCAACTGGGCCATTTTCTCAATGGTCAGAAAAGAGAACCTTTGCATCATGGCACAATAAGGATATGCTCTTTTATTCACTCCTACTGATTAGTGATTAGAAAAGATTATCATCACAGCACTCCGGACAGATCCATAGGTGCTTCGATCTCCTCAAAAGCTCCACAAGTGTAAGATGATGCCTGTTCTGTGTTGGTTAATGAAACGTTTTGTCCCCTTAGTGAAATGTTCATTTCTTGTAGCTCCAGGCTGCACTCCCATGTCCATAAGTCTAGACAGGGATATGGAGTATGACCATGACATGATCGTGTTCAATGCAAGCAATTATGTGCAGCACTGCACAAATGGGTTTCACATGAATGCTCCTTAAACAATACAAGAATATCACACAGAAATTAATCTTGTACCAGAGAAACTACTGCCTAGCAATGGTTTTCTATTGCAGATGCTAGCATATGAAATTAATTTACTTCTTCTTCTTCATTGACCAGCTGTGAATTCCAGTGGAAGGTCCCGGTAGATTATCCATTCGGATTTTTAGCTTTTACCTGGACCTGAGTTTTGCGTTTACAACCGTTTTACTGGCTTTTGCCGTTCCCTGCCTCAAGGGCAGATGTACTCCGACTTCAAGGGAAGATTACTTTACTGATGTGATATTCTTTAAGCATTATACATTATAATATAATTACATCGGGAAAAAAAACCTTAAAAAAACTGCCACCAATATAATTTCTTTACACAGCCTTACAAAGAATAATGTATGCACACGGTAAAGGTCAGGACCCTTCTCACTGAGCTTATGATGCTAGACTCCATTTTGAAGACCAGTCAGCATGCAATGGGTGATGTAGTCAGCATCATGCTAGCCACCTTGACCTTACAAGACTTTACTTGGTATCAATTTTCCGTTGGGCTAACGTGACAGCCCAAGATCATTTTTCAAGAAGAAGAAAAATGACTTGATGCAGATTTGATTCCTCGACCTTTGGGCTAGCAAGAAGACGCACTAGCCGCTACGCTACTGCGACTCCCCTTTAATGATGTGGCATCCTTTTAATAATAAACAGTATAAATTAAATGTAATAAAAATTAAAATTAACAACTGCCACCAACATACTTTATTAAAACATCAAGCAAACAGTTAAAAAAAAGCCTTACAAAGGATAATGCACATCTTACTGATAAATATAATTAAAACCAAATGCTCAGATAAAGCAGCTTAATTTTCCATAAACCCAGTCATGATAATCATCAGATTAAGAAGTTTAAAACACCTGAAAACAATGTTTTCCTATTGGAAAATTTAAAGAAAAAAAATGAGTCCATGATCAATATTTTGCACAATATATAGTCTATAACACTCGAACATAACCAAAAAATCACATAGTTAATCTTAGACTTCTCTGGTGATGTTGAGTGTTGGGCTAAGAACTGACACCACAGCACTCGGGACACTCCCATAAATGCTCGGTCTTCTTCATCTTCAGCAGCCAACAAAGAGTTCCAATTACGATGGTGCCAGCAGCAATTTGATTGTATGCCCGTCTTGCCTTTCCTCTGAGTTTAGAATGTCGACCAGACCCCCCCTCTCCCGGTCACTCTGAGCTGAACCATTCTCTCCATGCCGCAATGGTCTATTTGTGCCTCTGCATTCCTTACATGCTCCCAAAGACCTTGACCACATCTAGCTTGGCATATTTAAATTCATCATCCACTGGTGCAGAACAACCAACCTGTCTGCCTGTTCAGTTCCCAATACTCCTGCATTCCCTGGAGAAAATATATGGTTTAGTGATTGTATGGTTCATATAAGACTTTTGTTAGTGAGATGTACTGCGCAATCATCATCATCAGGTGCCTTGCCAACTGGCATTGGCGATCATGCCTCTCCACAATCTGCAATCAGCTTGTACAGCATAATCAGAGACAATGATCTGTGTATTTCAGTTACAAGGTTTCATATTATGTGCTTGTTAGTGTAAATTCTAGCAATGCACTGGTGAGATATATCGTATTTACGCGTGTATAGGCTGCATCCAGTTTCTGAAATAATTTTATGAAAAATTATTTTCTTACAATTTCATCGAGAGACCAAAACAGAAGAAAGAGTAGCATCTGTGAGAGGAGTGAATTTAAAGCCAATTATGGCTGGGTAAGACGCTGCATGGCATGAAACGACCCAGAGATACGGTAATGGGCAACAATGACATAGCGACTTCCCGACGCCTACCAGGAAAAACTGTTAGTGTTTCAAAGACATGTTATAAAATTAATGGAAGATCTACAACTACAGCACGGCGGCAATTGAAAATGAAGATGAAACTCCTGTATTCTTCAATATGCCAGGTAAAACCAGTGAATAAAGCTGGTTAAAAGCACGGCGCTCATGTGAACTTCATTTAGGAGCAGGAAGCGGTGTGGCTTAATGCTAGGTATCACTGCTGGTGGACACAACCTCCCACCTGACGTCGTTTTTAAAAGTACATCCATGCCTACGGAGAAGTACCACATTGAATAATGATTCGAGCACAAGACAATGGTTAAATGGCTGCAGAATTGTATTATTTATTAATAAATTTTGTAAGATTGGAGACGACTGGTCTAATAGAACCCCGTGATTGATTCATTTCACCAACCCTCCTTACTCTCACTATCGTGGCACTTCAAAAGTCGTGTCCGCACATATTAACAAATATCTCAAAAACCCCTGTATGGATGTGACATGCAGGCCTATTTCTTGAATATAAGCAGCATCCTATTTTCATTTACGAGTTTTTATTAAAATACTGCCTATACATGCGCAAATACGGTAGTGAAATATACCAAGCAATAAATTATCCCCATTATTTAAAAACACCACTGTTGCAGACAAGCAAGAACATATGAAACACAGCCACTGTCTAATGCAGTGGTTTCCAGCCTTCTTCAGGCAGTAGCACTGAATATATGGCAAGACAACCACCCCAATTTTAAAAAAAAATTGATTAAAAAAAAGGAGAACCCCCAAAATAATTCCACGCAGTGTTAACAAGAACTTGGAAAAAAACATCCACATAAATTAAAGTGTCAAATAACATCACGCTCTTGGGATTTTGTTTTATAAATATTTTTACAAATATTTTATTCATAATTAAACATAAAATGTTTTAGGATAACAGATTATTACAATTATAAACAAACTCAATTTCAAAACTGTCTGAAGCTTCCATGCCATGCGTCCCCCAAGGTTGCAAACCACTGGTCTAATGTGGAGCTAGAGACACCCAGAATCAGCTTGAGGCTCCTTTCTCCTCTGTCTGGTCACCCTTGTGTGTCACCACCCCTCTCTGGATGAGATCTGGTATCTCTACGGCAAGCCATGGTCCTAACTACACAAAATACAAGGGCACATCAGTGATCTGAACGTAGACAATGTAAGATTTTATAACACAAGATAAAGGTCCTACAAACCTGAACTACTACTACACTTAATCTTTCCCTTTTTTATTTTTCAGCATAACCTATGCCTGTCTGTCTTCTCTCAAACCTGCAAGACTTATGTCATCTATGCCTGTCTGTCTTCTCTCAAACCTGCAAGACTTATGTCATCTGCTGTCTCAGCAACATGTGTAGCTCACACTTAATCCTGGATTTATCAAGGAAACATGAACCATCATCAGGGGGCTGTGTGGTCTCGAGGCATGGTGTTTCCGCCTCGAGTGCTAGAGGTTCAGGTTTTAATCCCCGGTAAGGGCTGGGATTTTTTCACATGGAATTGGACATCTAGTAATTCCTTCTGGTCTCTAGGTAGTGAAATCGGACGCCCATGTGTATTGTGTGAAAAGAGTAGCCTAACTGCACTGCCTGGGCTAAATTCGGAGTTAATAATCTACCCAAAGTATTTCAGGACCCTCGCCGGTGCTACAGAGCCTGTGCACTGTGCTGAGCTTCTTCGGACTCAGACTTGAGTAAGAAGAAGAACAGAGCGATTATGGGTTTCACCAGTGTGCTATGATGTTGATCCGTTGTTCAAAACCTCAAAAATGAACCATTAGCGAAGCAAATGTTGAATTAAGAATCAACATCATATCACTCAGGACACTCCCAATCTAGAGAAGACAACCTCAATTTAAAAAACAACTAAGCTTACAGGGGACCTAAGTGTCTATTGGCTGAAAGGCTGTGTCATACATATTGGTAAATGTGGAACATCTGGTTAGTGGGTGGGGCAGCCCCTGCCTCATCCCTAGCAATACTATTTACTTCCTGCATTGAAAGAATATTGTCTATGGATTGTGTACTTGATAATTTAAAAAATGCGAAGCAAACAAATGAGCTGAGCTAAGCTCTGGATGAGCTGAGCTGAGCTCTATACATTTTCATATGTGCTCCGTCATCTTTAGCAGCCAAAGAAGCCTTCCAGTTCCGATGGAGCTAGGACCAGTTTGATGATTACATGTTCCAGCTGCCCCCTAAGCAGGTCGCAAATAATGACTAGTCAGAGGTGTTTCCTTCGAACTCTGAGCGCATCTGCATTACAGGCAAGGAACTGGCAGTCTGCATATAAAAAATGCATGCAAAACTCAAGCTCTGGAACAAGAGCAAACTGCCAATTATTGCCTTTATTTTACCACTTTTGCGGTGTAGGCAGGGGGGGGGGGGTCTTTGAGCCTGAGGATCTACAGCCGCATGACTAATGCTGTCGCCACGACTGTGCATGCAGGTGAGGATTTTATTTTTCCCCCCGACAGTAAAAATCCCTAGTCTTATTGAAGATTCAAACCTGGGTGGGTCTTGATAGCCCAGCATTCTAACCGTTCGGCCAGCTGCTCCTCTGGAACAAGATCAAAGTCCATAAGTGGAAGAACTGCCAGACCTTTTCACCGAAGTTTACAGCTGGTGAACGCTAAAAAGAAAAATATTATTACATGTCCATCTTGTCTTTCCTCTGAGTGAAGAGTGTCAGCCAGATCCCCTGGTCACTCCCCATCACACTTGTCTCTCAACACAGACTTGCTCCAAAAATGCCTTGAAAAACACAGGTATCATTCACGACTGTGACATGACTGTTGAGGCAAACACAGTCCTACAGCAGAGACAGCCCATAGGATGCAAAGTGTTTTCTGGGTCTCCATGGTGAAGTGGTTAAGCTGTTTGCCTAGCGCTCTCAATTCCAATTATATGAATAAATTAAGGAGTCAATCACATTCAAACTGCTGCAAACAATATTTGCTATGTGAGGAATTCGGCTGTATCTGTGACCTGGTTTCTTTGCGGCCAAGTTTATCGGCTGAGATACATATATCTATGCCAGTATTGACGGCCTACTCTTCCTGTCGAAGTTTACTGTCCATCCCTACATGTCTGGTTTCTATTTTGGTCCCGTTCTGCTTGCATGTCTAGTTGGTCTTCCCTCCCTTGTTCTGGCTGCATTGGGTGTACTGTTTTTTTTTATCTCTGTCCGGGTGCGGTTCCTTTGTGTAATTTGTTTATGTCTTCTGTCATGTGGTGCTGAGACGGTTAGGTCCTCTCCATGCACTGAAGCTCGTGGGTACCATGTTATACTCAGTCCTTCAGTTCCAAAATGTGGGTTTTTCACAGATTCCTGGGGTCGCCACTAAATGTAAGGAGTTTTGTGCTTTCTGCAACACTCTCAGGACTTTTCCGACAGAATCAAGCCAAATGGGGATATAATCTGGTATAATGAAGTCAACACTCTTGCCTTAAAATCCTTTTTAATTTCAAAACAGATTGCGATATTTAATGTATGTGACTTACTCCAAGTGCCATAGCATGGGCTATACCAAACCGTGGTACATTTCGTGCCCACAAAGGCTTAAAGTGGTCTGTTAAGCAGATTTTGCCGCCCCTGTTGGAGAAAAAGAAAACGTAATAAAAAGAACAACCGTTACCAACACTAAAGTATGCAAATAAACATGACTTTTTATTAAAATATGAACATGCTGGTTTCCATTAACATTTCTTAATGATAATTACAAAATGCCCTCCCTGAATGAGTTATGGGCCCTACTTTGGAAGAAATAAAAATGACGTCGCAGAATTGAGGGTTCGCTGAAATCGCATGAGCTGGGCTGAAAGATGCAGATATCACAGCCTAGCTGTAAACCATAGCACAACAACCTAACTTCACTTCTGAGAGTCAGCACTAATGAAGAAGCAGCAGCAGAAATAGAAACAGACAAAATACCCAGTAATCCCAAAATCTAACGGTGGCAGACATGCGGTTTTTGAGAAACTGCAAAGAAAAATTCTAAATCAGAAAGATCATGTGATTAATTTGAAGTTACCACTGTAATCGTATGACTGAATTTAAATTTTCAGGGGATTGCAACTTGACAATGTGGTTTATGCATTTATGCAAGAAAATGATTAATTTTGAGCTTCCTCATATGTTGATTTAACTCTGTAGTAATGCACCTGACAAGATACAGTGAAATATGCCAGGCAATAAACTGTGCAATGTATTGTTTGTGCCCTCACTGATTAACATGACAATGTCTGCAGTGATCTGTTAGCGAAAAGTGTAGTTAAACTCCATTGGTCACTTGTGCGCCTGCACAGTTTACTAGGCCAGCGCAATAATAATACAGTAACTAACAATAACACTGAGAGCGGTTTCCTCATCACCCCAATGATTTTTTTTTTTCAAGCCAAGCTGATGTCAAATTGTAAGCGTCAGTCATGGGGTCATGGTATGAGTCATCTGATGCATACTGATTTCTTGTTTAGGCCCCAGGGAATCTATTCCAGGTAATGCTCCAATATGTTCATGTTTATTGATTACCCCTTTATATATCTTTATATTCTTTTTAAAAATAGATAAATATATATTTTTAATGTGTTAGTGAACTGTGTAATATGGCTGTTTTTCCCAGTGTGTGTTCCGGGGCCCCATTGTGAAAAAAAAAAAAGAAGAAAACAGACCCGCTGCCCCCCCCCCCCCAACAAGCATGGTGTATGAGTGGACTAAGTGAGGACATTCTTCGAAGTCGATCTGCCTGAGAGGCAAGGAACCACAAGTTTGTATACAAATAAGCCAGATCAGTGAAATGTGTGTGCACGCAACACTGAGATTCTGAAGCAAGACTAAAGTCCGGAGGTGGATGAACACCCAAAACTTTCCGCCAGAGTTTACAGCCAGTGAACATGAAGAAGAAGAAGATATGGCTGTGTTGGAAGATTTTTTTTGCAGGAATCTCCATTAGTTTATTACCCTTTTTTTTTATAGCAATCACAGGGCAAAAGGATTAAGGATAAACTTTTTGGAGATGTCAAGAAGCTCAAACTGACTGTTTCTTTCTTAAAAAATATTCACCCTGATGTCTGGAATGTGAACAAATAAAAAAATGGAACAAAATTTGAGACAAAAGGTATCTAAATAACTAACCTGTACATCTTTGCAGTTTTGCCGTCCAGTTCAGGCAGTGCAATTTCTGGGGATGTTGTAGGATAAGTGACCGGAATCTAGACACAAAAAGAAAGACAAATACCAACAGATGTGTAGATAATACAAATCTCTATGATATAAAGTCAGTACAGAACCAATTCTACATTACATACAAAGACAAGCAATTCCAGATAAATTTGCTTTTTAGTCAAATACGTTGCGTTGTTTTGTGCACATTTTTCTGCTTCCCCATTTTGTTGAGCTTTTTAGTCCAATTTATCTGGAATTCCTTGTATTAGCTTGACTGCAGTCACCCCCATATTTTCACCATACAAAGACAGCAAATAAAATGGTTTGCCTACTTGGAGAGAATGCCTTTATACAAGGCATATACCAAAATAGAAGGGCTTAGGGCAATAATAGGTAGATGAAGAACACAAATTGCTCTTTAACTTCAAAATCATTTTTTGCAGTAGGTATTAAATACAACATAAATTGCGACTAGAAAGTTCAATGCAGGCAATGGAAAAGATACACACAAATGCAACTGAATGAATGACCAATCTTTATAACTGGAGTGCTTAATACTCTTATTTCTCCAACTTCACTGATAAAGACTGGTCAAAATGTTCAGTTGAGTTGTATTTGTGTTCATTTTTTTCCCCTCCATTCCCTCTAATGAGTTTTCTAGTCATATTTTATGCTGTAGTTAGTATTTCTTGTATCAGCTCAACTGCAATTACCCCCTGTTAATGTCATCAATTCTACAGCAGCCATAACTTGAAGTTCAGGAGCATTCATTTGAAACCCTTCATGTTGCAGAGAGTGTAACTGCAGCATTGAACATGTACTGACCAATAAATAAAAGAGCAGGTGCTTATATTTGTGCACAGCCAGTCAGTCTTTCGGCCTTTCATTTCCCAACGTAACGGTATACCTCGGAGTAAAGATCCAGACAATGCTCCTTACCCGTGACCTCCGCAGCGAAACATGCCACTCTGCACGAAGCATGCCTGTCCTGACCTTCGTCAGCATGCTCTCTGAGTCAGTTACAATCATGCTGTGTGTGTGTGTGTGTGTCTCGTGTTCTCTAGCCAGTGGAAAGTTGCTTTGACCGCCTCCACCTCCATTCTTAAGCTGGATGTTGTGGTATCATTTGCCAGGCTCTCTGTATCTGAATAAATGTAGAATGGTGTACTTGAATAAATGTAGATTTTTGTACCTGGAAAAGAAAAACCATCTTATTTTGGGGGAAACATGGTATAGACAAAATTAACTCTATTACCGGCAGTTACTTACATCAAACTCCACATCAAATTCGTATTTCAGCAGTTCATGAATGTACCAGCATTTCCCAAACCATCTTGTTCCCTCCTTGTTAGATTCTAGCCTAAACCAGTCATTATCACTCTCCTTGTTGTTCTGAACATACTGTTAATGAAAACAAGGTCACAAGTTATGATTTTAGAATCTTATTCATAGGTTTAGAGTAGGAATGAAAAGAGTTGTTAATAGAAACAAATTTAAGAGACAGGTGACACATTTTGATCAGATTAAGACATAACACTCTTACAAAAACCACACTAAGGAAAATTATCGGTAGTACTGTCTCAGTTATCATAGAATGTTGGAAGATGTAACCAAGACATAACAATAACACTCTACAAAAACCACACTAAGGAAAATTTTTGGTAGTATTGTCTCAGTTATCATAGAATGTTGGAAGATGTAACCAAACCTGGTATTCCACACTGTGCCAGTGACTTCAGGTGGATAAGTGCACAGGGAAGGCAACTAACCTTACTTATTCTAGGATAAGGAAATGCAATCTGAAAACAGTTATGGCAGGGCAGACCAGGCCCATAGCCTTGGCTGGTAGTTGGTCTATGAGGAAAGCTCTGACATGAGGACAGACAGAATACTGCTCTTCTGATCCTGTAGCTTCTACAGCAAGCTTTGTTTCAAGCGTATTGGTGTCACTTTCCTTTTGAGAAAGCCAGGCAGGCCAAATGAGAGATCATGCTGCATGGGCAACACCTGGCCTCTATCTAATGCCCAGATTTTGGGCTTTGGAGGCGATGAATTTCATCCGTCTTTAATTAGCTGTGAGTCATATGCCTCTCCATAGCACAGTATAACACTACCATCTGGAAAGAGGAAAAGGTCAACAAAAGTTTTAGACCCCAAATTCTTTGCCTAGTTCTCTATTTTCTCCACTGACTTCTGAAGTGAACAGAAGGCTAGTGTGTTTTCAGTGGCCGTCTAATAGCATTATGGTCTAAACAGCAAAGTCATCGAACAGCACTGGCTCTCTATAGCTATCATTCAGGTAGGCTGTTGGAGATTTGCTAATGACAACACTTAGTAATGACAGTTATATAAATCGCAATGATACATGACTCTTTTATGCTGCTCTTACAGACTCGCTGTCTATTTTACTTACTGAATGGTCAGTATTGCGGCTGATTATATTCTGTCAAAATCGTAAATGCAGAAAGTCTCCTATTAAAAAATACATGTTATAACGCTTGTAAAGTGAGAAGTTTCAGCTCAGGCCATCATTCCACTAAGTATCAAAGCAGGGGGAATTAAACAAAAGTAAAAAAAAATGAGGAATAACACATCCTTAATAAATAAGTCATTGCAATTTCAGAATTTCACTACACTATATTAACCTGATGATTATTAATAAGAAGGTGAGAACATGTTATCAAACTGCTCGCTCTCTGAACTCTCTCTCTATCGGTGTCTTATCTTTCCAGCTTATCCCCCCCCCCCCCAATTTGATCGAGGCCGCTACCGCCCCTTTGACCACCACAATTCCCGGGGGGGGGGGGAAGGGGGGGGGGGAATCGCCCACTTTGTGAAACAAAACTGACCTAAACATTAATCAAGTTGATATGTAAACCGGAAAATTTAAATTGTAATAATTAACTTAACCAATAATACGGGTGTGAATCTAATTTGGAAACTGTGGTTTTATAGACGACAAAATACCCTGGACAGATAAAAAGAGCAATGAAGATGTCTTAAATGAAACTGGCTCACGAAGAGAACTGCACACATTAGAAAGAGACAGTCTTTGGTCCTGTAATGAGAAGAGAAAGAGAAAACTGGAGTCAGTACATCGTGACGGTAGGAAAGCTGGAGGGGAGGAGAGGCAGAGAGAGACCGAGAGAACAGATGCTCATGTTAGATAATTTGACATCATGGCATGGAGGATCATCTGTGTCATCAGAGTTGACTGAAAGTACACGAGACAAAGGGTTGTGGAAACACATGACTACCAACGCCACGAACTCTAAGAAAAAGAAAAAACCAAAACCAAAACAAAACGTCTCTACTCAGTCTGACTCAAGTGCTCTAGTACTATCACAGTCGTATCAAGTATTTTTGAGTTTACTGAGTATCAACAACAAAAATTCCAAAGGATGATAACCTGGATTAGCGCCTGATACTCCTCCTTAAGCCTGGGTATCCACAATTCCCCATCTCGAGGTCCAGCTTTAGTTTTGAGCAGCGGTATTTTGGCTAGCGTGCTTTTCGTGGCTTCGTCCACCATGATGACACTTTCTAGTCTTGCCAACTATTTCAAAACTGTCACCGGAGTTTCAGTGAGCACAATGTGAACTAATTGTCATCAAAATATAAAAATACACAGCGCGTGGTTTTAAAAAGAGATTCAAAGTCGGCTTTCTTGATACCACTGTCGAAACCAACGCAAGGTGCATGGCCGGCAGCTGGGATTGACCCCGGCATCCCGGCATCACGAAGCGTTCGAATCGACTTAGCCACAGAGCCGACAAGTTGGTTATATACATGCCAAATATGACTGAAAGCCTGGAAAAGGGTCATTCACACGCAACCCTGCCGAGAACAGCTTCGGTTATAATTGTTTGCTTACCAAGATTTATGGCCTACGAACCTCTTCCCGAATGGGAAGCTTCAGGTTATAAGTGTGACTAGGTTATGTGCTCCAGCTAAAATGGCTTAGCATTGCACGCTACCAGGAGCCCCGAAAAGGACTCCTGCAGTGTTGAGACGATTAAGGCTGGGTCGACCTGAGAGTCAAGGTCATTTAAAAAAAAAAAAACGTCCGGCTCCGCAAGGTAGCGAAGTTACGACCTCCTGATCCGCAAGCCAGCGTCTAGCCGCTACGCCACGGTGACTCGCCAGTACGCCTAAGGGCGTTGAAAGGGTTCCTTTAACCGGGGTATATAAGAGCTAGGTAGTAGTAGTAGACATTTATACCACAAAGATTAGAAATTTAAAAAAAAACAGCAAAGAAAACCCTCCTCAGCATAACAAAGGCATCAAGTCATTTGAGCGAGGAGCAGGTTTGACATTTTTATTTCCACTAATCGAATCAAATAAACATTTGTATTGAAATATCCTTTTCAACTCATCTGGCTTAAATATGTGATTAAAATTGATCGCGTGGGCAACTGCTGATCTGTTGGCGACTTCTGCTACCATTAATGATGAACTGCAATTCTTATACTGTGATAAACATTCTGTGTGTTTTTCGTTGGCACAGGAGCGGAGCAAAGATGGGGCGACCCGTTTGCTTTGAAGCTGAAACTAAGACTACCAGACCAGGCTTAAATGGGATATAATTGCTTCTATTTCGATACTGGATATTTATGCTCATCTCCTTATGGTTAACTTAATCTTGCCTAAATTATATTTCAGTTGTATCAGATTGCAACAGTTTAGATTGTTAATTAAGCTTAATATATTTTAAGTATATCCCCCCCCCCCCCAATTCCTCTTCAGCATTCAGAGCCCTTGAGGTTCATTGCTGCAGAATTACCCACCTCCATTCGTTTGTGTGGTTATCTTTTTGTTTCTAGCTAGTGACTCCAAGTGTTTGCAGGTCTGAATGTACCTTATTTTGCCACCTTCTTTGCCAGCCTTTTAGTCTAACCACTCCCATTCAACGCCTTTGAGTTCGCAGCGTGTCTTTGTTGTGTCATGCTCTCTCTCTCCCCCGCCAAAAGATTACAGCCTTTGCGACCTCATGATGCTTGTAATTAGTGGTGTAAATAAACAGCATAATCTTTCCCTGTAAATCTCTGAAGGTTACAGACTCCAGCATACACGATATCCAATTAGTAATTACATTACTGGTTTCCTGGAAGTTCCCATTTCTAGATTCCAGTAACGGCGACGTCTCAATAGTCACTTATGCTTTTCCCTCCTGGCATCCTGCAGTTGCGATCAGCTGCTGGCTTCAACAGAACTCCAAAGGAATATACTTACACGTTTAACTATAATTAATGGACACTGTATATCCTAATTATAACCGTAAAGGTTAAACAGGATATTGTTTATGTAAATACTACTACTAATACCGACTTCTGCGGTTTTATAGCTAATTTCTCTCTAAAAGTGACCGTGTGTTGTTTTTTTTTTACGGTCTTGTTTACACGGCTTGTCATGTGACGGGGTTACCACATCCCGGTATAACTGAAAATCAAAATGGTTAGTTTATCCAACGATAGACTTCATTCGGGGGTAAGTTTCTTATATATATTTATTCGTGTTTGGAAATTTGAAGCACTTATGTATTTAAATTTTAATAATTTATTAACTTCTTGGTGGTTAGTAGTTGTTAACGCTTAATTAAGTTAGTAGTTTTAGGTTTAGTTTTGTTTTAGCTTAGCAAACAGTGCCGCCGTGAGTCCAGTCAAGTCAGTAGTAAGTTTTTAGTAAGTTTTCTGCTTCTTCTTCAGCGTTCTGAGCCCTTGAGGTTCACTGCTGCAGATATCACAAGCCTCCATTCATCTCTCTAGTTGCTTCTCTTTCCAGTTGGTGACAGCAAGTGTTTGCAGGTCTGTCTGGACGTTATCCGTTATCTATCTCTCCTTGGTCTGCCTCGTGGTCTACGACCAGTTCAACTCCCTTGTGTATACAGTTTTTACCTCTATCATTTGACTTTGACATTCTGTTAGCTCTCATGATGCCAGCGATTAAATGGTATGAATTTTGGGCTCTCCTTTCAACTACTGCCGGGAGACTACAGTAGACGGCCGTTTAGTCGGAGTTCTGTCCCCTTGCTGCAGTGCAATTACGGAGTGGAAAGGACGGAACGAAACAAATGACATGATTAATTACTGTGTGTTGGCGATAGACAGCATGCACTTCTCTGCTATAATCATACGGTCAGGGGTGTGGGTTAGGGTTACAGTTAGTGTCGCCGCATCTCGTCTTCGCACAAACTCATAGTAGCAACCCTAACCCTACTCCTAACCCTAACCCAAACCCTAATCGTATGATGACAGTAGGCCACTGTGCGCTGTCTATCGCCAACACACAGTAAATTTGTCACTTTGTTTCGTTCCCCCTAGTCCTTTCCGTTCTGCGTGGCAAGAAGCGGTAAATGAACGCGGTCGCTAATTTAAGTTGCAGCGCGGGGTCTCACAGGCATGTCGACCTCACTGTGTTGTCTGATTTGTGCCTTTTCCAGTCCGTAATTGCACTGCAGCCATGGGACAGAACTCAGACTAACCGGCCGTCTACTGTTGTCTACAGGCCATAGTTGAAAGGAGAGCCAAATTTTGTTGTTGCTTCTCTCTCCATTCCCATTTTAGCTTCACTTATTATTTTCAGTTTGAGGTTTCACATTCTTATTTAATATTTATCGTTTGTGGCACTTGATACAGAAAAAATTATACTAGTATGTAGTACTAGTATACCTGCCAGACGTGATAGTGATAAGATTTTCCACCTACACGCCTTTAGCCATTTAGGGCATATAGTATGATATAGTACCCAAGTACTAAAAGACACTAACTTGCTTGAGGTTTGTCCTATTTACTTTGATGTTGCATTTTAGAGGGTCAGTTTTATTTGTAATTACCATTACTTCTATTTTTCTGCTGTTCAGACTAAGACCCTTGTTTTCACTTTCCATCTCTTCTTGCAGTTGTGTTTAATTTTCAGCGATCAAACCTATATCGTCAGCATATCGCCGGTTGTTAACAATATGCCCACCAACGGTGATTTCTCGCATACAGTGTATGGATCTTATTATTATTTCACTGTATAAATTGAATTAATCAGGCAATAGTATATCTCCTTCTTTAAAATGTTTTAAAAAGTTCCCAACTTGATTGCCAATCCTTATGGCTGCTTTTATCATTATTACTACACAATTTAACCAGGCATTGATGCCTTGACCCCCCTTTCCCCCCCCCCCCCACCCCCACTTCTCCAGCACTGATAATTTGTGATTACCCCCACACCCCACCCCCTTTGTAGTTGCTTACAGCTCAGTTGTCCTTCCCAGTGCCGATATATTCTATTCATATTGCTGATCACATACTACTTTTTCTCATCAGCTATAGTAGTATTTATGTCACAGTTATCCTGTTCAACCGTTTAGGATTATAATTGGGATAAAGAGTTGTTTCAGATAAAGGATACTTATTTTTGTCAAATAGGTCTGGCAGTCTAAAATTGAATACACTGCTACAGATTATAGTGTTAACATGCAGATTATAGATTACAAGAATAGGTTATGAAAGAAGAATGAAGACTGAGTAAACGAATAATAGTGGTTCTTTTTTTTTTTTTTTTGGTGTACAGCATCCACAATGAAGGTTGGTTGAAGTATACTCACTGTTGTCTTTGGGAATATTACCTGGTGTTTATAATAAGTACAGTGATTGATGTGCCATATGTTACTAGAGCCTAGAGGAGAAGCAAAACATTGAAATGGTGCATTATACTAAGCGTGTCATAAGAGGCCCAAAACACTGCCAATTACTAGTGTTTACCACTTTTGCCATTAAGGCAGGGAGATCTTTGAGTCTGAAGATTAAGGGCCGCATGGCTAGTGCTGTCGCAGGTTAGGATTTTATTTGTTCCCCCAAAAGAAAAAAATTACACTTCAAAACTGTACAGAAGATTCAAACCTGGGTATCCTTAGAGGCAACTATGGGTAATGTTAGGTAGAAGTTGGTTGAAAGTGTCTGCTCCATTATTAGCATGCCGCCTCTTCGTTAGCTACTGAGAAAGGGAGATGGAGCATGTATGGGAATGTTCCCAGTGCAGTGGTGTCAGTTCTTGATTCATTCATTCTTTCATCAATTCATTAATTGGCAGTTCCATGGAGGTTAAAGGGCAGAAAGTGACAGCAATTGTCATAAATGATTGAGCATATCTTCCCCATGTGGGTTCAGGAACCCATTTTGCAGGTAAAAAGAGTAGACCCACTGCCCCTCTCCCCCAATAAAGTATGTCCTAAAAGGCTACTAATTAGGGGTATGTTGAAATCGAAAGTGTTGGATCGAAAGGCGCAGATATTACAACCTATCTGTAAACCCCAATGCAGCTTGCCAAACATCTTTTTATTTTCTCAGTGAGGGCGATCACAGAAGAAGAATTGAGCACCTTTCTTCATAACAGTCAGTGTCTTTGTCCACCTTTCTTTAATACAGTCAGTGTCTTTGTCCACCTTTCTTTATAACAGTCAGTGTCTTTGTCATCTGTTCACAGGGTTACTTTGGATTTTCAGATGATCACGCAGCCAACTCCGATGATGATCTTATTGTGGATCACATAGAGCTTGTGTCAGGGCCAGAAATCACCCACCGACCAATGAACATTTCCTGGGCAATCATATTGACAGATATTATTTATGTAAGTAAAGTAAAGGACCCTTTTCCACGCCTTTGGGCATATAGGGCTAGACCTATATTTTTATAGACCAATCGGCACTGATGGATGATATGGTCAGCATCACGCCGACCGCCTTTACTTCCCGGGACTGCACCCGGTACCCACTCAAGGCTGGGTCGACTCGAGAGCCAAGGTCATTTTTTTAAAAGTTTGGCTCTGTCAGGGAGCGAACCCACGACCTTCTGATTTGCGACGAGCGTCTAGCCGCTCGGCCATGGCGGCTCCCCATATTATTTATGTAAGTCACTATAAGTCGGTATCTTATTGACATTCATCTGGAGGCTCCCAAACCAGACTGTCTTTCAGTTTGAAAGCCTATGCTGCCTAGGTGACACTGACACATCTGTCACTGCCATACAATCTTACTTCGGCAACAACACCACATGTCTTTCTTTAGAAAATAACAGCACCCATAGTTTGTCTTTTACCTTACAAACCTTTTGAAAACCTTTCTCAAAACCCTTAATTGTCTAACCTCCCTGCCACTTTATAGCCCTAACAAACATCCTTAAAAGAAAGAACAACAATTTTACACAAGTCGCTAAACATTCAAAAACAAATATTTGTTTATATACATTAAAACATTTATATTTCCAGAAAATATGAAAGGATTAATCAGGAAACATAAACGGTGTGAAGATTTATATTGATCACTGCCCCTAAGACCTTCAGAAAATGTTTTGGGTGACTCACACTGTGACCCCGTAACCTTGTCAGAATTCTAAAGTTAACAAGGCAAATTACAACATCATAATCGCTGTAAAAAATATTTTGACTCTATATTTAGTAAATATAATCATATCCAGGCCTTCTAAACATTGCAAGCACAAACAGAACCATTAACTAGGCCACTCGGAAACAGGTCACTGCAGCTGTGCCAGTTAAGCATTTATAAGCATTGGCAATGGGAAAATGCGCCAGGTTTGTGGCCTCTCTGAGGGAAATGGTTATGCGTTCTCTGTCCAGCATTGGTCAGTGCTCAGTCCTCTCTAATCTAATATGGACACCATAACTTGTTTTTTTCCCCTGTCCTTTGTGTGTGTCAAGTTCTTAGCCTTTATTATTATATTTTTTTTTCACATGTTCATTTCTTTTATTATGTGAAATAACCGCCAGTGTTTTTGAAATATAATTTTTAAATTTTTATTTGCAGGATTAAAAATTTTTTTTTACTCTTTGATAAAAAAGTGTGGTCAAAGCCTTTGCTTGTATATGTGTGTGTGTCTTTCCTTACCTTGTTTCTGTTAAATTTTTCAACACCTTTTACTGTTCCTGAACGCATCTCCATTTCTTTCTCTGTGTGGATTACCTGAAAAAGTTATCATGTGCAAAATAATTGTGACTTTCTACATCAAAGTCTTATAACTAATTTATGGTTTTGTCTACTTCTTTAAGGGGGGAACTTTAGTGTAGTGGCCATGTACTTACCTGCGGATCCAAGGGTCATGGTTTTAGATCTGCATGGAACAGGATTTTTTTTTTTTTTTTTTCAAAATGACTTTGTTGGAATTGTTGGAAGTAAAGGCCGCTGGCATGATGTTGACCGCATCACTCACCGAATGTTGACCTGTCTACGAATACACGACTAGCACCATGTACTTAATTTGTTTAAGAGGGGGGAAGGGAGTCCTTTACTTTGCTTGTATATACCTTTTTTTTTTAAGGGCAGCCTCATTTATTTTTCTCCCTGTGTTTCCACAGGGAAAATAAGAAGCATGTCGCACAAGAGCCAGCTGTCTGCATATACAAAAAGGCTAATCTGTTAAATGGCCAAAAACCAGAACTTTCTGTCAAGAGTTTACTAACCGTGAATGCTAAGAAGATTTTGTTTCTTTTATCCATTCACAGTTTTGTTCGCATTTACACCTCAGCATCGTCATCATCATCTTCATGTGCCCTGCCGACTCGCTTAGGTGTTCGTGCATCTCCACAGATCTCAGTCCCTTGTCCTCTGGATCATTTCCACTGATTGTATCCCTCTGTATCACCGTCACAATCCCTCCATCATCATCTTTCTTGGTCTGCCTCTCCCTGTTTTACCGTTATTCTTTCCAGTCCTCACAATATTCTTCAAAGCCTCCCTCATCACATGACCAAAGAACAGAGCTTGCCTTTACCTTATAGTATTATTATAATTGTTCCCCAGTAGCCTAGTTAGCATCATTGGCCCTGTTTGCACTTGTGCATTGTTTAGGTGGCCCTGCATGTGATTATGATGTTATAATTTTCCCCTCAGTTACTATATTTCTGCTTGTATCAGATGTTTCTCAGCTTGTATGGTTCTTAAGTCTACATATAATGTATAGTTTCTACATAGAATTTTAAAATTATGTGTTCTATCTTCATTTGATAACTAACCTTTTAATGATAAGTGGAGAGTGAGGATTATCACAACACTCCGGACAGATCCATAGGTGCTTCCGATCTCCTCCTCAAAAGCTCTACCTGTGCAAGTGACTGATGTCGCTAGTTCTGTGTCGATTAATGATATATCTTGTTTCCTTGGTGAAATATTCATTTCTTGCAGCTCCAGGTTGCACACCCATGTCCATCAGCATGGACAGGGATCCAGAGTCATGCCTGTTGTCGCATTCGTCTTTGCGTGAAGTGCTAGCGTGGCATTTATATCATCTCTTCTGTCCAGTACCAGAGCAGCCATAGTAACTGCAGTATCAGCAAGACTGCACACTCATTGCCTTGAACACCATCATTACCTGGCACGAAGATGAAGGTTAGGCCAGCCATTCACAAAGTACCTAATGTTGCAATCCATTCTTTTATGATGGCCTTTGTGAATGGGTAAACAGTGAGGAGGCACAGATAGATCATTTCGGTCTGAGGAGAATGGGGCTGTGAGGAGTTACCAGGGGATCTGGCAGACGCTCAACACTCAAGGGAGTATCAGGCGGTTACTGGTACAATCGGAACTCTTTGCTTGCTGCTGAAGATGGGGACTGAGCACTTATGGGCCTGTTATCTACTTCTGGACTGCAGTCCTGATCCAGAACCTGAGTGTTACCTATGCATCCGTTTTACAGATCTCACTCATTTGTATGCAGACTGCTAGTTGCTTGCCTCTCAGGCAGATGCCCTCTGACTTCAAAAGAAGCTCAAAATTAGTGGAATCCGACGACATGCTTTTGGGAGGCAGTGGGTCTATTCTTGTTTTCCCTATAATAGGACCCCGGAGCCCACACGGGGATTCACAAGATATCAGTGTTATAGTTGTTCTCAGGTGGTTTTAATATTTGTCCTGTTTAAGATTGTTTCTATTTAGTTTATATTCCTTTGTAATATTTGTTCCCATTTACGTGAATGTTCCATTGTTTGCCTCATATTTTTTTAGTTGTTATAATGAAATGATTTAGATATGTGTTTCCATTTCTAGGTTGGACTTGTAATATCTGCTTACCTAATCCCAGTTCAGTGTGATGATACAGACGGAGCATGCGGTGAAGATCCCTTGTCATTAACTATGTACATTCATGGTGGGATGTGGTTCATTCTGTTTGCTGTTGACAGATATCTTCAACACAAGCATGATCAAAGTCGCCTTTATGGTTATCTGGACTTCTACAGGCAGACCAGAAACCTGCGCCGAATGCCGCTGTTTATAAATTCTTGTGGTAGGTTTTAGAGTTAGTAGTCAGTATCTGTGGCCTAGGTGTTTCAGGGTGGCTACTTCATTACGACCATGAAGGGCAACCATCTGTGAATGTTTCTTATATCGTCCCCATGAGGGATGCAATTTTTCGTTATTTGAAGCCTTACCCTGACTTTTGCCGGGGGCCCTGAATATAGCCGGGTCATAACTCTGACCTAACGACTAAAAGGGGTTTCTGGGACCTCTCCATGGGTGATCCTCATCTGCATGGTGGCACTTTGTGTCACTGTGTGTTTATCGCTTGTGTGATGTCCTGGTGAGGTACAATGCGAGATAGAATGTTTCTTATAAAGAACTAAATAACGAGCCAAACACAATGTGAAGAGACTTCTTCTAGAAGAATGACAGTATAATTATGACAGGTCACTGAGAAAGCTTCCTGACACTTCGATGAGGTACAAGGTGGAAGAGAAAAAGAAGAACTGAGAAAGCTGAAAGGAGTCCAGATGGCTTACTTCCCTCCTTTCACCTCTGAAAAATCTCCAGGATTGAAGAAGAGAATTACAGAATGAGGTGAAAAAGAGAAGATGGACATGGAGAAGCAGCTGCTTACAATAGTAAAGGATAGGATGATGGCACAGATTGTTCAGAGGCCTATGCTCCGTTGAAAGATAAAGTGCTCACACATGAAAAAGTTCTTTATGCAGCTGATATATTTTTATATTGCATCCCTGTGGGTATTGGATTGGAGTCTGTTGACAATGAAATACCCGCAGTCTGTGTTAGAAGCATTGCCAACTAAGGCTTTGTTGTTGCCAGTTTGTACGTTTCTTTGCTTACAAAACAAGAATTATGGTCACTTTCAACCAGCATCCCCAAGGGGGGAGCTGTAGGTTATGGTTATGTGTGTTGTGTAAAATAGCTTAACATTCCATGCCACCAAGTAGCTCTGAAAAGAACTCTTGCAGTAGTCATGCCATCACAGGAGACAGACCCAAATACTGTCCTGACCAGCAACAAAGTCGCCTACCATCCAGCCAATTGGCGACCCCGTCGCTGCTGACTTCCTGTCAGTCCCTGAATGATTTTTCAATAGGCTTCTCAGGCAACCTGAACCTCAGTGCTTTAGTTTAAAGAATTACACATTCTTCTTTATATAACCTGTGCAAATTAATGACCATCTGCACCTTTTCTTCTTCAGCATTCTGAGCCCTTGATGTTCACTGCTGCAGATGTCACACACCTTCCTTCATCTTTCTGATAGGACTTTTCTTTCCAGTTGGGGACACCAAATGTTTGTAGGTCCGGATATTATTTCTCTATTGTCTTTTAGATCCATCCAACTCCCCTGTGTGCCTCTCTGTCATCTGACGTTATCTCAGTATGCCTCAGTCATTTCTGTCTATTAGTCCTCTTGATGCCAAATTAAACACATTATGAATTTCGTTGTTGCTTCTCACTCTTAGTAGGTCCAAAGATTCATTTTCATACTCTGTTTTGAAAAAAATTGTAATAAGGCTTCATTCATCTCTTTTAGCTGTGCTCCACGTTGTATGAAACAACTGGTCTAATCTTGGTGTTACAAGACAGAGACTTTGGATGAATGCATGCAAGAAGAAGGCAGAAACTTTCATTTTAGCAGATTTGCAGGGCATAATATACTTTATTTGCAAAATGTATTCTAGATTGTATTTCTTCTCTTCATATGTTTGGAGCAGTCGAATTTTGCACCCAAGTACTTATATGTTTCTATTTGTTTGGGTTTCATATTATCAATTTTTATGTGGCCAGAGTTATTATTAAATGGTGAATAAAGAGAGGTAACAACACTGGTAGGGCAAAAAAGTTCCCACAACTGATGCCTAGCGAGCAGCAGGGTCTGGACACAGTCTATTTGACCCTACTACGTATGACAGACTGTCCACAACTGCAGTGTGAATGGAAATAGTTTTGAAAAATATAAATGCGACTAATGACCTGTTAATGGGAACAGGACTCGGTTGAAGGTTAAGGGGACCCTGTACATTCTCTCAAAGGTTTCACAACTAACATGCTGGTTCATCCAGTGTAATAGCTGATGCCTAAATGCATTATTGTCTGTGCTTTTATTCAGCTCTGAATAAATTGAACTCTGTAGCACCGGCGAGGATCCTGAAATACTTTAAGTTGATTTTTAACTCCAAATTTTGCCCGGGCTGCGCCGTTAGGCTACTCTTTTCGATTTCCAACTGCCAAGAGATTTTTTTTATGTGCGCAGCAGTGCACACAGGTGTCCGATCTCACTACCCAGAGACCAGGGATAATTACTTGAAGTCCAAGTCCGTGTGAAAAAATCCCAACCCTTACTGGGGATTGAACCCGGAACCTCTAGCACTTGAGGCGGACACCATGCCTCCAGACCACGCAGCCCTTTATTGCACACTTTATTTCCGAGCATATTTTGCTTTATTTTGTCAGACGTTTTCATTGTTACCTTTATCCGAGTGTTTCTTTAATTGATTTTAAATGTGAGTGCTGCTGACTTTCTTTGTTTCAGCCAATGCTTTGCTAGTGATAGTGATGAGAGTCTTGGACAGTCATTGCGATTCCAAGGGAAACTGCAAATTTCTCAACAAAACCCACTACATCCAGATCTTGATCAGTTTTGAGTGCATGCTAGCTCTTGTTATACTGTTAGTGTATCTAGGTATGTCTTATTTGTTTTTATTTACTCTTGTGTTTTATTTTGTGGTTTTAGGTAAGGTCTTTTTCACTGTGTGGACTCAAATGTTTGCAGTTTACAAGTAATTATTTGTAGGTGTTCTGCATGTTTATTACAAATTTTCAAAAACAGTCTTATGATGAATCTTTGGACCTATCACAGAGGCAAACAGGAAAATTCATAATCTGTTTAAATCACCATTGATTACTGGCATCATGAGAGCAAATAGACTGAAATGACTGGGGGCATATTGACAGAATGTGAAATGACAGAGAAGTAAATACTATATGTATACACAAGGGAGCTTCTTCTTCTTCTTCGCGTTCACCAGCTGTAAACTCTGGTGGAAGGTTCTGGTTGCTCATCCACTACTGAACTGCAGTCCTGCTCCAGAAGCTGAGTGTTGCGTGTGCATCAGTTTTACAGATCTCATTCTCTTGAATACACACTGTTGGTTCCTTGCCTCTCCGGCAGATGCACTCCGACTTCAAAGGAAGCTCCCCAATTAGTCGACTCTTACGACATGCTTTTGGGGAGGCAGTGGGTCTATTCTTGTTTTCCCCACAAAGGGACCCCGGAACCCACACGGGGGACAAGGGAGCTGAATGGTCGTAGGCCACAAGGCAGACCAAGAAGACGATTGAGAGATAATGTCCAGACAGGTCTGCAAACACTTACCAACTGGAAAGAGAAGGCCAGCCAGAGAGATGAGTGGAGGCGGGTGATATTTGCAGCAATGAACATCAAGGGCTCAGAATGCTGAAGAAGAAGAAGTTCTGCATGTTTCAGCTTCATTCAGCAGTACTGGTTTGACATTAGAGCTAATTATTTTTAAGTTTGGTATCAGTTTTGGTATTACTGCTTTCCTATTGCTGTGAAAACTCTTCTTGTCTTTTGTATTGTTGATATCAACATCATAGTTCCATAGCACAGAGTGTCTGTGGGTCTTCATTTGCTAATAATGGTCTATCAGTTCCCTCTACCACTGACTGTCAGTGTCACTGGACTTAACGTTTTCATATTTGAGGCTCATCCAGTCAGCCACATTCTGGATTTCTTCTCCCATGTATTGAGCCAAGTCGTATTGTTTTGAATATCCTGGTAGATATTATTACATATCCATACCTTTTGTTTTTTCTAGGTAATTTTTTGCATGGGCCTTGATCTGAGAGGGAGTCACTGTGGTGTAGCGGCTAGTCGCCTGCAGATTGGAAGGCCATGGGTTCGGATCCTGATGAAACCTGCCTTTCTTAAAAAAAATGACCTTAGCTTCCAGGTTGACCCAACCTTGAGTGGGTACCAGGTGCAGTCCTGGGAAGTGAAGACGGTCGGCTTGACGTTGACCACATCACACACCAAATGTCGATTGTTCTATAAAATATAGGTCTAGCCCCATATGCCCTGAAGGCATGGGAAAGGGGTCCTTCACTTTTACTTGATCTGAAACAGACGACATGGTACATGGTAACCAGGAGGAAGACGGAGTCACTGTAGAACAGGGCTCTTCAGCTGGAGGACCGAGTCCAGCCCACAGAGGCCTAGTAAGTGGCCTGCGGGTCATTGCAGATTGTATTGCATTAATGACCGTTTCTATATCAATATCTTACCCCAGATGACGTCACAGAACAGTCCAACATTATAGAGAGTGGTAAGACTGTGTTTCACTGCTTTCTGATGCTTTCAGCGATCCCAAAACATATAGAACTGGCCCTAACCCCAACCCACCTATGTCCTATGAGAGAATGCAGCCTAGGTCCCACGACTGCATGCAGCCTGGGTCCCACGACTGCATGCAGTCTATCTACCACCCCCTAAAATATTAGACGGTCCCCTGACCTGTGGATTTCCCCTGTGTGGGGTAGGATATTAACAATGCACCTAGTGATCTTTCTACATTGGTGCTAGCCTCTACCCTGTGATGATCCCAATTTCATTGTTTTTGCCCCTGTGAAAACTTAGTTGAATACTCCTACCATAGAATAATCTGATTAAACATGGTGTGTCTCAGGTAGTATTTCAAACCTGGTGGAGCCCAATCTTTTCCATATGTGAATTTCCTCAATGGGCTATATCTTCAGAGACAGAGCTACCAGTCTACTTAGAAGTTGTTTCCTCGTGGCATGCAATTTATTGCTATTTGGAAGCCCTACTCCGGCTTTGGCAGGGGCCCTGAATATAGCCGGGGCATAGATATGGCCTAACGACTGAAAGAGGTTTCTAGGACCTCTTCACAGGTGATCCTCATCCTCATGGTGGCACCTTGTGTCACTGGGTGTTTATCACTTGTGTGATGTCCTGGTGGGGTGCAACTACCTACCTACCAACCACTCTACACAACAGGGAGATGGAGGGTCACTTGACACCAGCAGGCTACTGTTCACATAGTTAATATTGTCCTCAGCCTATTGTCTCTTGTACGTCACATAGGGCCCGCATCCTAGTCTTGTATTCTTTCTTGTGCAGTCCTTCGCTATCATGAATGGAACCCAGCCCAGCATCTTTGACCTCTCAACAGTGTTTCTGTTAGGGTTTCTTAAGGACATCCTCATATCCTCAGTCGGTTTGTTTCCCATTTCAGTGCCTGCTTGGCGATTCTTTTTCCTCATGATGTACGCAGTATATTTCCAATGTCTGTGTTTTTTAAAAACTGAGGTTTTATTGTTATTAATGTTGTCTCTGCTAAAATATGAAACCATATGAAATTATCTTTTGTTTCTTTAATATGAAACCATATGAAATTATCTTTTGTTTCTTTAATATGAAACCATATGAAATTATCTTTTGTTTCTTTAATATGGAAATTATCTTTTGTTTCTTTAATATGAAACCATATGAAATTATCTTTTGTTTCTTTAATATGAAACCATATGAAATTATCTTTTGTTTCTTTAATATGAAACCATATGAAATTATCTTTTGTTTCTTTAATATGAAACCATATGAAATTATCTTTTGTTTCTTTAATATGAAACCATATGAAATTATCTTTTGTTTCTTTAATATGAAACCATATGAAATTATCTTTTGTTTCTTTAATATGAAATCATATGAAATTATCTTTTGTTTCTTTAATATGAAACCATATGAAATTATCTTTTGTTTCTTTAATATGGAACCATATAAAATTATCTTTTGTTTCTTTAATATGAAACCACATGAAATTATCTTTTGTTTCTTTAATATGAAACCACATGAAATTATCTTTTGTTTCTTTAATATGAAACCATATGAAATTATCTTTTGTTTCTTTAATATGAAACCATATGAAATTATCTTTTGTTTCTTTAATATGAAACCATATGAAATTATCTTTTGTTTCTTTAGTCCACGTTATGAAGTTCAACTTCAAGAAAGCTTTGCCAGACATTACACTGACTGGACTCACTGCAAGTTATGAGAGCTTGTATTTATCCTCGGATGTTGGTCTCAGGTAGCTACTGTGTGTTGTTATATTTTAGTCACTGTCGTAGTAATCTTGTGGATTTTTATCGTGGTATGGGGCGTCGCAGGTCGACCCAGCCCAATTTCCGTACCAGGATGCTACTTCCTGGGGAAGTAAAGACGGCTGGCGTAATGCTGATCACATTACCCACCTGGTGCCGATTGGTCTGTACAAATATGGGTGCTCTTTCCATATGCCCTATGCAACTAAAGGCGCAAAAAGGATCTTTACTTTTTCTTTTTTCTAGTACTCTTTCTGTCTGCTCTTAATTGTTCACTGAAATCTCCATGGCAAAGTTGTTAAGCCATTTGCCTTACAGACTTACCAGTGCCACATAGAATGGACTGTAAGAATAACAGATATTTAATTTCAAAATGTAAGTCTTTTTATCTGGATGCTTTGAAAAAAAAGTTCTGGGCAGTGCAAAGATTAAACAGCATTTAAAGTCTCCGGTTGAGCACCAGCAAGGAAATCAAGGTTAAAATTCAGAGGTCATACATTTTTCATGTGGCTAAATACGGATGTGAGTCATGAGCTGCAATGCTGTGGAAAGATTCTCTGAATACCATGGACCAAGAAGAAAAGAATTATTGACATCCTAAAAGATCTAAATATCAAGGAAGATTGGCCGGTAAACAGCGGAATAGTAGGGGTGGGAATGGTTCCAAGAAAGAGGGGCAGGGGTCAACCAGCACAGAGATGGACATGGGATGTAGGACACCTTGAGTAGGAAAGTGCATGAGGTGGGAGAGCTGGCCAGCGACCCAAGTTTCTTTCAGGCAAACTGCGATGAGAGCCTCTTTCTGCAAAGGACATATTACATGTTGAGTTGGAGGTCTCCTGGTTGAAATGGTTAAGCCATTTTTGCTCTGGTGGTTGTGAGTTTACTTTCAGACTCTGTCCTCCCTGTTGGAGGAGTCCTGTTGGGGGGGGGGGGGGAAGAATATGGACTTTGGCTATATTCCAGGACCTGAGTTTTTGTGTGAATTTATTTTACAGATCTTGCTTATTTGTATGCAGACCGCTGGTTAGTTGCTTCTCAGGCAGACACACTCCGATTTTGAAGGAAGCCCCCAGTTAGTCGACTTATGACATGCTTGTTTAGGAGGCAGTGGGTCTGTTCTTGTTTTCCCTACAATGGGACCCAGAACCCACAAGGGAGGGAGCTGTTCTGTGATATGTGTGCCTATCAGATCAGTATATTTGATTACAGCTAATCCATAGTTAACTGTCTTTTGCTACACACTTATTAAAGAGGAATGTATCTTCTCCCATCCCAGATCCCACATGGGGATATGGTGTGACTGTAACCATCACTCGCCACCCAAGAAGCACACAACACAAACAGTTAGCCATGACACTGGGCTACAGTCCAGCAACAGTGATGGCAGAAGAAGAAAAAATTTAATCTTGTCATCTTTAAAAAAATTATATTTTTTAAAAAAATATCAGTATTTCACTCGGGGTGAAACACGGTAGTTCGTTCATAACTCGAGCACTAATAAAGATTTGGCAAAACAATTTGTAGTGGACCTACCTTCATTCATGCAATGTTGGGTGACATCATAACATATGGAAATGGCCACCATTTGCGTCCAGGCAGCATTGGTAGCGGTGTTCCATGTTGTCGAAAGTTCATCTCAGTACGCTGTGACAAACGGGCGTGACTCAAGGCCACGCAATGTTTTGCTGCCTGGATGCCAGTGGTGGCTGTCTGACAGCAACTTGACTGTTGCATCTTCCTTACAGTCATGTAGCTATTGCAGCCCCTATATAGTCATTTGGCTGTCACATCTTCCTTACAGCCATTCGACTGTAGCATCTGTCTTATAGCCACTTGGCTGTTGCAGTTGCTTAAAGTAGTTATTTTCACATAAAATAATACCATGTTCAACCCTTGGGTTGGGATTGCCATTTATAATGTTCAGAGCTCCTTTACAGCATGTTATCAATTGTAATTTAATGTATTGAGATATGTTTCTGCTCTCGTTTTCAGAAATGCTAGTGGTTACTGCTACGAAGTTATGGAGAAACAAGCAGACATGATCCGGTATTTACAACAACACACTGAGATGCTGGCCAGGAGAAATCTGACACTGACAGATGAGGTCAACAGGTTAAAGAGTCTAAGGCAAAATGGACCAATTCAGTGATGATGATGAGCTTGTGATGTTATTGGGGGGGGGGGGGGGGGTTCAGGGGTTGTTTTTTGAGTGATCAGTTATCAGATTCTATGATGTTTTATGTTAAATTTGTGAATGATTACAATTCATGTGAATTTGTGACTGATGAACGTGTGATGTTATAGCTATGGTCGGGTTCAGTGGTTGATTGGGGGAGTGATGAGCAGTCGAATCTGTGATGTTTTATGTTTCATTTATGAATCTGTGAATGATTACATTTTGTGTGAATTTGTGGGTGCTGCCATGTAATGATGATGTTTAGAGATTCTCCTTCTTCTGCTGTTTATTCTCCCCCAGTGGAGCATAGGTTCTCAGCCAACTCACACCCAGTCATCCTATTCTTTGCCATTTGCTATTGCATACAGCTCACCCCATGTCCTGCTTGTCATTTCAACTTCCCTCTCTAGCTCGCTTCTCAATATGTGCAGATCAACTGGCTGTTTTATAATTGCCTGATCAAAGGTTGTCAACTTTTTATAACAAGTCCTTGTGTGGGTTCCTGGCTCCATTTAGTAAGGGGAGGGGGAAGGGTTATTAGACTTACTGCCCCCCCCCCCCCCCCAACAAAAAAAACGTGACGTCACAGTAGACTAATTAAAGGTTTTTTCTTCGAAGTTAGAGTGCCTCAGCTTGAATGACGAGGAACCAACAGTCTGCGTACTGATACGTCAGATCTTTAAAAGGGATGTGCATGCTCGACTCAAATTCTGAAACCAGACCAAAGTCTAGAAGTGGACAAACAACCTGAAGTTTCTACCAGAGTTTACAACTGGTGACTGCGAAAAAGAAGAATATATAGAAAGTATTCTTCACTTCCTACAGTTGCTCATTGAATTAGTTAAGGAAGACGCAAGGATCTTCTTTGTGGTCTTTTCAATGTGTTATATAAGTTCTGTTGCATTTCTTGAAAGCCATTCTTGATGCTGTCATTCCATATTCTACATGGTCTTTCCCTTGTTGTGAATTAATTGTATTTTTTTAGCATGACTCTCTGTGGCAATTGATAGGAAGGGAGTGAGAATGAAGGAAGAAATGATTGCAGAAAGGTTGAGAGCTGAGCATCTGAAAAGAGACAGACTAAACACAAATGTTGACAGCAACGGTCCTGAAATCCTATACTATAACCATTGAAGACTTTTCTCAATGTGGGCCGGTCTTGCTAGTCACACTCGCCATCATCATAGACTGTGAGTCCCGTATCTCCTCATAGTGCAGTATAGCACTATCGTCTGGAAGGATGGAAAGGTGCCAGTCATCTGTGGCAGTTGGTATCAGGGCATTCTTGTCAGATGGTCAGACTACCTCATCTGAATTTAATAAACTGTATGAATGATTTCAGTCCTAGTCTTTTTCTAATATCTTCATTTTTTTTATCTTTTCTTGTTACTCCGGCATCACTTCTAAGTCATTTTATCTGTATTGTTATGATACTGCACTCATTACTTTTAGTGTGGGCCCATGTTGGACATGTGGTAACATTTATGATGCTCTATAGAGATTCACTGTCTGCTTTTATAGCAGTTGATCATATGTCATGATTTGTATATACGGTGCCAATAATAGTTTTGTGAGTTGATTACATCTTATGATGTTTGTAGAGGTTCGCCTGTTTTATGAGTAGCTGATCAAATGTTATGATCTGTGTATAGGATGTCAGCGACAGTTTTGTAACTGAATAATCACATTTTCTGATGTTGTATTAGGAATCACCACTGTTTTGTGAGTGACTGGTCAAATGTTATGATCTGTGTATAGGGTGTCATTGACAGTTTTGTAACTGAATAATAATATTTTCTGATATTGTATTAGGAATCACTACTGATTTGTGAGTGACTGGTCAAATGTTATGATATTGTATAGAGCATAGATTATAAATTTGAAAGTGATTGATCACATTTTATGTTGAACGAGAATTCTGCATTTCATTTGTAAGTACGGAAACACCCTTAGTCATTTGCCTCCTACAACAACAGGCTTGTTAGGGGAGTCAGTGGGTCTAATCACCCCTCCTCCTCCTCCAAGCGTGGCCCCAGAACCACATAGTTAGATGTGGATATAAACTCTAGCCCTTGAGCTAGCAGTAAGCATCTTGCCACTACACAACACCCCCTCCCCCCCCCCCCACCTTTAAAAAAAACTGATAAGCGAGATTTTGTGATGTTATCAGGTGAAATCCCTTGTATTTTAATGAATTACTGATCGCATGTAAATCTCACAGCCCCATGTGGGTTTAATTTCCCCCCATTTTTTTTTGGGGGGGGGGGGGAGAAAAGACTTTGCTTCTGAAGATGGGGATGGAGCACTTATGGGAGTGTTCCGAGTGCTGTGATGTCAATTCTTAATTCAACATAGAATAGACTCACTGACACACACCCCCCCCCCCCCCCCCCCCCCCGACAATGAGCATGTTGTAAAAGATGACCAGTAAGCAGGGTTCGTAGCTGACCGGGAAATCGGGAAATTACCGGGATTTTTTTCGTTGACCTTAAAACCGGGATTTTTAGCTTATAAAAGATATTCCGACCTTGAAAAGCCGTGAATTTTGACCGCGGCAATGAAATTGTCAGAAATCCTGTGTTTTTCAAGCACAGGCAATTTTGGGGGAGCCATTTGGCTTTTTTGGCCATTTGGCTAGTTTTTGGCTACTTTCATTGTATGGTCGTTTCAGGTGTGAGGGCAGCTGATTATTGGCTATTTTCAGCCGAAATGGCTTGTTAAAGGCCAGGGGAGGGCGGGCTTTGTTACAGATCATGAATACATGCAGACAGCAGCAGTGTGGCATGGGGCGGGAAGGAGCAGCTTCCTTCTCGCGTGTGTGTGTGTGTGCCTTTGTTTCTAGCAAGTCGGGCAGAATGAACAGTTTAAATCGTTTATGGCCGTGGTTTCTAGAAAGGATTACATTGGGAGATGGTGGGGCTTGGTTCAGTTGTATTTATAAATAGAGTCGCCGTGGTGAGGCTAAGCACGGCCTTCTCTATTAATTAGAGATGGCATTGGGGCTAAGAAAAGTGACTGCAGCTGGATTTCCCAGTTCTATTTTTGGCCTGGATTTATCTTTACAGTGTGTTTGGCGATCAGTATTGTAATTCCCCGAGATTCCCTCTTCTGTTGTCTCACTCCTCTCTCTCTCTCTTCCCTCCCTCTTTCACTCTTCTACCTATTGCTCCTTCCTTCCCGTCTCCTGCATTGTCTCTAACCCTCCCTTCTGATCTTCATCTTCTTCTCTTTCTCTCTATCTTTCCTTTTACTCTCCCATTTCCTGTCCCCCTCCCCCTTTTTCCTATTTTATTTCTTGTTTAAATGTTTAGTAAATGTGCGGCTCCATAACTCTTCCTAGCAACTCAAGTACACAGGAAGTTGTATTGGGGGGGGGGGGGGGGCATTCTGTGTGAACATGGTGGATATTTTTTTTTGATGTGTTTGTTTTCCTAGCGGCCTTAATCTCTGTCCATCTCCCTTCCCGCCCCCTCACATTTTGTCCTACCTGTTCCTCACTCTCTGCCTGTCTGTGTCACTGCTTTCTTCTTTCTCTTTGTATTTGCCACTCTCCCTCACCCTCTCCCTCTCTCTCTCTCTCTCTCTCTCTCTCTCTCTCTCTCTCTCTCTCTCTCTCTCTCTCTCTCTCTCTTTCTTTCTCCATACCTTCAGTTGGTGTAGAAGGTTATGTGTTGCCTAGTGCAGAACATTTCATGTCCACCATTCCCCCTCCCACACATTAAATATATGTGTACTTTTAAAAACACATTTGCCGTCACCCCCCCCCCCCCCCTTTTTTTTCTCTCCCACATTGATGACACCTAGGGGAGGGAGTGCACCCCTTCCTGCTACCTTCTTCCCTCTATATCTTATTTCTTACTCCCTGTCTCATTCCCACTTTATTTTCTTAAACTTTATTCTCTCACCTCCTCTGTCTCACCCTTACCACCTCAGCCTTCTACACCACTTTCCACCACCTCCTCTCTCCCCTCCTTTCTGTAATTGGAAAACCAGAAATAAAACGAAGTCCACTGCTGCCCTGACCTATTTATGTGTGTGGGTAAACTTCTCTATTTTCCACCAGTGGTGGGTTGGGATCCCCTGGACTTTTATTTTCTTCATAAAATGACCTTGGCTCTCAGGTCACCAGCCTTAAGTGTAAGAAATTGAATTATTGTTGTCACACACAGATAGGACAAGCAAGGGGCAGTAGGGGTTAGCACTGTTGTTTTTGGACCACGGCCACATTCACATTGAGAGAGGGTACACTCATTGTTCTTACACCCCCCCCCCCCCCACCCACCCCCACAACCGTGTCTTACCTTTCTTCTCTCACCCCTTCTCTTTCCTTTGATCTTCTTCTATTCTCCTTTCTCTCTCCATTCTTCCTCTCTTCCTTTCCTTGCCCTCTCTCCTGTCCCATCTCTTCTTTGTCTCCTCTCCATCCTGTCTTTTCATTTTCTCTAGATTTCCTTACCCGCTCCCCTCTTTCATTCTTCCCCCCCCCCCCCCATCATCATTTTTTTTTACTGGTTCATCTACGTATTTTTTTGCCCCATAACTATCTTTTCCTAGTGGTTGTGTCCACTACACTTGAAATTGTGTGTGTGTGTGGGGGGGGGGGGGGGGAGTAGGTGGCTGTTTTTTTTCTTTGATGTATCTTGTCTCCCTTCCTGCCCCTCTCTCTTAATCTGTGTTTGTCACTGCCTTCCTTACCCACCTCTCTCTCTCTCTCTCTCTTGCTTTATGTCTGTTTGCCTCCCTTCATCACTTCCTCTTTGTATACCTCCCTCCCATTCTCCTGCTCTGCCTTTTTTCTCTTTCTTTGGTTCTCTCCCTCTGTCTGCTTGCCTCTCTGTGCTGTCCCTTTGTCTCTCTCTCCTTTATGTCTACATCTCTCTCTGCTTGCATCTGCTTCTCACCCTGTCCGTTCTCTCTCCCTCTGTCTCCCTTCTTTCAACTCTTTGTCATATTTTCCTCCTTCCATATCTCTA